GCTGCAGGCAGCCGGCCACCAGGTTGGTGGTGGGTTGCGACAGGCCCTTGCAGAGGGTCTGCACGAAGGAGACCAGGTCGGGGCTCTTGCCCGAACGCAGGATCTCGGAGAGCGCCCAGATGTAGTTCTTGGCCAGGCGCAGAGTCTCGATCTTGGAGAGCTTCTGCGTCTTGGAGTAGCAGGGCACCACCTTCCGCAGGTTGTCCAGGGCCGCGTTCAGGCCGTGCATGCGGTTGCGCTCCCGGGCATTCGCCTTCATGCGCCGCAGCTTGAACCGCATGCGCGCCTTGGTCATCTTCTTCTCCTTGGGGCCCCGCCGCTTGGGCTTTTGGTCGTCGTCCTCCTCCTCCTCCTCTTCTTCCTCCTCTTCGTCCAAGTCGTCCTCCTCGTCTTCCTCCTCGCCGTTCCGTAGCGAGTCCTCCTCGGCCTCGGCGTGCAGACCCTCCAAGTCCTCCTCCTTCTTGTCCACCTCGTGCTCCTCGTCCTGGGAGCTGAGGCACTCGTCCGTCCAGCTCGGGGGGCCCTGAGGCTGGGGCTCGCCCATCAGCCCGCTCTCGCTGTACGACTTGGTCATGGTGAGCCTCTGCATCAGAAAAGAGCCGTGTCAGCACCCACACAGGCGGCCGTGGCCCCGCGCAGCGACCCAGGGGGAGAAGCCACACGCACCCGCATCCCCCTCCTCGCTCCCCACAGCCCCTCCCGGGGGAAGCCCCACGGTGCCAGCACAAACTTTTAATTGTCTCCGCGGTCTTGCTTCATAATTAAGTTAACATATGTTCCAATGCCATTATGTAACTCGCTGATATTAGCGAGGAATATAAGCAGATTACGTGTGCGGGAGGCAGCCCGAGCGGCACGACGCGGGCAGACCAAGCAGTTCGTAGGAAAAAAAACCCAAACCCAACACATTGGTCGAGCCGCAGAGGGGGAAAGTCAAGGGGGCGGGGGGACACCGCACCCATAGGGACGAATGTAACCGCCGCTCTCCCTCCTCGCCCTCTCCCGCACCGCCCGGACGGGCGTCAGGCACTGGCTCTCCCGGACCGACTCTGCTCAGCCTCTCCCGACGAGGGTCCCCCGGTCCCACCTCCGTTCCCAGGGTCGCCAGTGGGTGCCCGCGGCACCGCACGACGCCCGGCCTCGGTAACAGATGCGGGCCCTGCCCCGGTTCTCCTTCTCCGCCATCCTTTCCGCCGCAGACGGGCATCGTCCCCCTGCACCCCGCGGGGGCCGTTCGTGAGGGGTTGTGACCTTCCCTCGGTCACACCGGGGAGGAACAATACCGCCCGCCCGCTGGGGCGCAGCCCGCCGCCCAGGAGAGGGAACTGGAAGTTAGAGGTGCAAAGCTGCAAGCACCTATACGGCTATAACGTGTGCGTTTAGACGGACGCACATAGACACATTTCCATGTGTGTATGGACGCAGATACACGTTTACAGACATACATGTGTGTATGGAAGCACGTGTACATTTAAAGACATCTACACACACATATATACGTGTGCGTGTATGGACAGATACAGGTGTGCGCGCCCAGCTGCCCGCACGCACCGGCAGGAACGCCGGCC